CAGGAACTGCAGAGCAGGTGACCGAAGGGACAGGCCTTGGGTGCCTCTCTTGACCAGCATACAACCTCACAGATCTTATTGCTATATCACCTTCTTCCACCAACCCCAGACAATCCTGGGGATTCATAAGAAAAAATACTAAATAAATGATCATGATTTCACTTTCAGATAAAAGCAGTCTGGAGGGAAAGGACTAAGTTTTCCCTTGACTGCATACCATATATCAGAGCAAAAACCATAGCAGAAACACCGAACAGGACTGTACTTCCCTGCACAGAGACCTACAAATGTGACCTGACAACTTGTAGAAACAACATCAGGGTGTCCAACCAAGCATGATGGGACAAGGACTTGCCAGAGGACAACGAATGTGATGAAGAGACTGACAGAGACAATAATGTGTAATATGTGTGTCTAGCAGGACAATGCATTAAGGATTTCAGAGTACATGTTCACAAACAGGATTTTTTTCAGCCTAACTCCACATTCTAATGAGTGCAGCAAACATTCCCAAGTTTTTCAGTTCCTGTAATTATCCTGACACACACATTACAAAGTGCAGCCTCTTGTATTTTGTAGCTGACACAGCTTCTTGCCTATACAAGTCTGGGCCTTAAACCAGACTTGTAACTCATTGTTTAATAAGGCACATAAAATTAATTTTCTCCCTTGTCTATGAAAATTATTTGTGCTTCAAGACAGTGGATGGAAGGATATTTTTGAAACACACATCTCAATAGTTCAGGTGTCTCAAAACCTCCTTCCATCAAAATACAGAATCCATCAGGTTGGAAAAGACCTCCAAGATCATCAAGTCCAACCCCACTGTGGTTAACAGACCATGGCACCAAGTGCCACATCTAGTCAAACATCTAGTGCCACATCTCCCACATGGATCGTACAGATACGTTAACTATACATGCTCATCAGGATATTAATTAGTAACAGTACATTATTATGGATTTGCATGCTATGATTGGTAGCAGTTTATTAGTAGTGTATGTGCAGCAATATTGCTACATTATGGGAGAAATAACATGTTACAATTCCACTCAAATCTTGGCAGAAACAGCTTAAAACTGATAATCCTCTGTGGATTTGGGTTAAGTCCTACAAACACAGAGAGGTTCTACTTAAATTATCTGTTGGGAATCGCAGGCCCTGACAACCCCTGGAGATACCCAACACTGATTCAGCAGTGCAGCCCAACCTCTGCAGAGATCCCAGGGCAGGAATCTGGCACAGGCTTAACTGTCCCAGAAAGACTTTTCAAACTCTTTAGAGACACAACACCCATTAGAGTTTTCTCAATTGAAGTGCCAGATACTTGACTTTCACACCAGGCACACCGTAAATATCTCCCCCATGCCATCCATTCCAAAGAGATCCTGCTAAAAGAATGGCTCTGCTAGCTGGATCGTGGCACACACAGAGACTTTGCATTTGACAGTTCTTCCCTAGCTTCAGACAACAGAGAAATTTAAGTTGCTTTCTCACAGACCCCGGGCAAGAAGAGATAAAACTCAAAACAGCCATTGCTGCACATAAACATGACATTAACAGAACACTGGAACATCTTCT